TGGAGGCAATTTACAGCACACACTAATTTTGGTAGCAAAGTTATTCATGTGGAATGTATGTTCTTTGCTAATGAACATTATTTTTTTATCAATTTGTTATGGGTAAAATTCCATTTTAAGCTCTTTGAGGGTAGAGACTGATGTGAATGTACAAAAAATAAACTGCTGAGAAAATTGTCTGTACTATATAACTAATATATCACCGCTCTCTCTTTGAGTGTTGGGATACAGGTGATTAAAAGAGGCCGATACCAAGCATAATAATAGTTAGTGTTTATATCTGCCTACAGCTTAGCTTCAGGAGGTAAACCTGTGGAAAGAGGATGTTGCTTGCTTATACCTATGATGATCACCACATACCTCTTGAGAGCTATTACTGCCATCTTTTGTTTTACTCACTGCTATAATTTTAGTGTAGGAGAAGTTTTCACTGTTACAGGACCCTCAAACTGAATTTCAAGTCCAAAACTACCAATGAAAACGTTAGATGTTTCAACTGTACAATTCCACCTATTTGCAGAGGATAAGGCTTTTCTCACATTAGCACATCTCCAAAATGCCATAATTTCCAGTGTGACTTTGGAATGTGATTTTAGTGCGACTCTGATCTGACTTTACATTCTCTGGACCAAAGTTGCATTAAAAGTTAAACCAAAGGAGTGCAGGCATCTTTTCAAAATCGCTGTGACTTTAAGTCGCATAGATTTGGATGGGTGCCATTGAAAAAGAATGAGCTGCCCAAAGTCGCATGACAAGTGTGAATGGAGCCTTACTGGAGGGTATTTGTGTTTGTGGGGGATGTGCATGCAAGCCTCATCTGTCTTATGTGGGTTTTTAATAATAAGTCATGATTATGGATTTCTGCACTTTGCCATTTTGTCAGTACTGTTCAGCGGTAGCAGTTACAAAATACAGTGGTTCCTGTATTGGATCGGTTCACAAGGTAATGCATAAAACTGTTTATCGCAGTAGCGACATATTCTTTTTTATTTTTTCATGCTGTTCATTTTCAAATCAACTGCTTTATTAAAAAAGGAAATAGGCAAAAAATGTGCTAATAAATGAATAACTTTTTGACAGACAAGCATGAGCATAGGCATGTCTGAGCATAAACGAGCATGAGCATAGGCATGTCTGAGCATAAACGAGCATGAGCATAGACATGTCTGAGCATAAACGAGCATGAGCATAGGCATGTCTGAGCATAAACGAGCATGAGCATAGGCATGTCTGAGCATAAAGGAGCATGAGCATAGGCATGTCTGAGCATAAACAAGCATGAGCATAGGCATGTCTGAGCATAAACGAGCATGAGCATAGGCATGTCTGAGCATAAACAAGCATGAGCATAGGCATGTCTGAGCATAAACAAGCATGGGCATAAACAAGCATGAGCATAGGCATGTCTGAGCATAAACAAGCATGAGCATAGGCATATCTGAGCATAAACAAGCATGAGCATAGGCATGTCTGAGCATAAACAAGCATGAGCATAGGCATGTCTGAGCATAAACGAGCATGAGCATAGGCATGTCTGAGCATAAACGAGCATGAGCATAGGCATGTCTGAGCATAAACGAGCATGAGCATAGGCATGTCTGAGCATAAACGAGCATGAGCATAGGCATGTCTGAGCATAAACGAGCATGAGCATAGCCATGTCTGAGCATAAACAAGCATGAGCATAGGCATGTCTGAGCATAAACAAGCATGAGCATAGGCATGTCTGAGCATAAACGAGCATGAGCATAGGCATGTCTGAGCATAAACAAGCATGAGCATAGGCATGTCTGAGCATAAACGAGCATGAGCATAGGCATGTCTGAGCATAAACGAGCATGAGCATAGGCATGTCTGAGCATAAACGAGCATGAGCATAGGCATGTCTGAGCATAAACGAGCATGAGCATAGCCATGTCTGAGCATAAACGAGCATGAGCATAGGCATGTCTGAGCATAAACAAGCATGAGCATAGGCATGTCTGAGCATAAACAAGCATGAGCATAGGCATGTCTGAGCATAAACAAGCATGGGCATAAACAAGCATGAGCATAGGCATGTCTGAGCATAAACAAGCATGGGCATAAACAAGCATGAGCATAGGCATGTCTGAGCATAAACAAGCATGAGCATAGGCATGTCTGAGCATAAACAAGCATGAGCATAAACAAGCATGAACATAGGCATGTCTGAGCATAAACAAGCATGAGCATAGGCATGTCTGAGCATAAACGAGCATGAGCATAAACGAGCATGAGCATAGGCATGTCTGAGCATAAACGAGCATGAGCATAGGCATGTCTGAGCATAAACGAGCATGAGCATAGCCATGTCTGAGCATAAACGAGCATGAGCATAGGCATGTCTGAGCATAAACGAGCATGAGCATAAACAAGCATGAGCATAGGCATGGCTGAGAATAGATAAGCATGTTTGAATCCACTTACTGTTGACTGACTCACTATCTCTGCTGTAAGTTTATTCCAAGCATCAACTACGCTTTTGGTAAAATAATACTTTTTTTAGATTAGTTTTGGACTTTCCTGCTTCTACCTTGAGGTTATGAACCCGTGTTCTTGATCTCAGCTTTCTATTAAAAATACTGCTGTCCAGAACCTCATTCACACCTTTAATGTACAAATGGCCAGGCAGGAGCACTGTTATTCTGGGAGGACGTCATATGATGCCCTCCCACTAGCATGCCTCATGGATGCCCTAAAGACACAGCGGAACACAGATCGTTGTACCAGGCTACTATGCACAGCCCTGGTACCATGTGATTGCTGTGACCAATCACAGCAATCACATGTCAGTTGTCAACAATGCTTTCATTTATAGCCATTGTGTGTATTGTTGTGATCTCAGTGATTGGTCACAGTAATAACATGGTACAGGGGGCAATCACAGTAGACCTGTACCATGAGAGAGCTGTGGCCAATCACAGCTATCACAATACTTCACAATAGCACATGAATGGATGCCATTCATAAAAATGATTGCTTATATACAGTGATTATCACTGTAATATGCAATAATAGTGTAAAAGAAAATCCTACCCACCTCCACAGAGCAGTAAAGTATCACTATGGTGACTGTATTGCTCTGGTCACAGTATGTAAAAAAAAAAAGAAAAAAAAGAAGAAAAAAAAAATGTTTGTTTTTATTTTTAAAAAAATTTAAAAATGTATTATTATTATTTGTTTTACATACTGTCACCTGTCAGTGTCCTTGATCACTGCCACTCCATTCATATGGTGACACTGCACTGCTCTGGTGACAGCATGTTAAAAATCAATTGTGAAAACATTTATTCAATTTCTTCTTTTTTCTAAAAAAGTGTGACAAAAATTAAAACTTTAAAAAACTTACCATGCCTCTTACTAAATATCTTGGGGCGTCTACTTTCCAAAAGGGGTCATTTGGGGGGTATTTGTTCTGTCTTGGTATTTTAAGGCCTCAAGAAATGAGATAGACAGTCAATACATCAGAATTGATCCATTTTCAAATATACACTATATACAGTATATTGCCAAAAGTAAAGAGGTGTATCATGGGATTCCTGATCGTGTGATTAATGTGATTGGTTGTCACAGTGATAGCTTGATTGGGAGCCTATCCTCCATGACCAGGACCTGCTGATGACAGAACAGTCACAGTTTTGGTGGTGCTCCATTGACTGCTTTCCCAGCACAAAAACAGCAAAGCATATACACTATATTGCCAAAAGTATTGGGACGCCTGCCTTTACACACACATGGACTATAATGGCATCCCAGTCTTAGTCCACCATAGAGTTCAATATTGAGTTGGCCCACCCTTTGCAGCTAAACAGCTTCAATTCTTCTAAGAAGGTTGTCCACAATGTTTAGGCTTGTGTCTATGGGAAGGTTTGACCATTCTTCCATTTGTGAGGTCAGGCACCGATGTCAGACAAGAAGGCCTGGCTTGCAGTCTCCATTCTAAGACATCTCAAGGGTGTTCTATCAGGTAGAGCAGTGGTGTATTTAGGTTTCGGGCTGTCCTAGGAAACACAAAAATTCGCTCCCCCCCACGGACAGACCCTGACACTGACCAATACCCCTCTCCCCCACTAAGAGAGCCTGACACCAGCACCCCAGCCCCATACCCCCCCCCACCTGAGAGAGCCTTCCACTACCACCACCCCCCCATACACTGGCAATGATCCCGACCCTGCGAGAGAGAAGACATTCGCCTACACAGCTCCGGACATCCCCGTGAAGGAGTCAGGCTCTGCATACACCATCAAGCAGCTCGCAGTCTCTCTCAGATCCCATCTGGTGCATGTGTCCTTTCTTCCATCCCTTCCTTTGGGGGCGGAGCTGCCCCCCTGAAAAATGCTGCTGCCCACCTGAACTATGCTGCTGCCCCCCTGAAAAATGCCACCCTAGGCAAATGCCTTGTTTGCCTTGTGGTAAATACACCCCTGAGGTAGAGGTCTGGACTCTGTGCAGCCCAGTCAAGTTCCTCTACCCCAAATTCGCTTATCCATGTCTTTATGGACCTTGCTTTGTGGACTGGTGTGCAGTCATGTTGGAACAGGAAGGGGCCATGCCCAAACTGTTCCCACAAAGTTGGGAGCATGAAATTGTCCAAAATGTCTTGCTGATGCCTTAAGAGTTCCCTTCACTGAAATTAAGGGGCCAAGCCCAACCCCTGAAAAGAAACCCCACACCATAATCCCTCCTATTCCTCTTGTATTGAACTGTATTGTTGCTGTATTGTCTCCCTTTATATTGTAAAGTGCTGAGCAAACTGTTGGTGCTATATAAATCCTGTATAATAATAATAATTCACCAAACTTTACACACAATGCACTCAGTCAAGTACCATTCTCTTCACAACTGCCAAACCCAGACATGTCCATCAGATTGCCAGACAGAGAAGTGTGATTTGTCACTCCAGAGAACACTGGAGTCCAGTGGTGGTGTGCTTTATGCCACTGCATCTGACACTTTGCATTGCACTTGGTGATGTAGGGCTTGAGTGCAGATGCTCGGCCTTGGAAATCCATTCCATGAAGCTCTCTATGCATTGTTGTTGTGCTAATCTGAAGGCCACATAAAGTTTGGAGGTCTTTAGCTATTGACTCTGCAGACAGTTGGCTACTTCTGCACACTGTGCGCTTCAGCATGTGCTGACCCCGCTCTGTCTTTTGATGTGGTCTACCACTTTGTGGCTGCATTGCTTGTTGTCCCAGTTGCTTCCACTTTGTTATAATACCACTAACAGTTGACCATGGAATATTTAGTAGCAAGAAAATTTCACGGATGGACTTATTGTACTGGTGGCAACCTATCATGGTACAATGCTTGAATTCACTGAGCTCCTGAGAGTGACCAATTCTTTCACAAATGTTTGTAGAAGCAGTCTGCATGCCTAGGTGTTTGATTTTATACACCTGTGGCCATGGAGGTGACTGGAGAAACTGAAATCAATGATTTGGAAGGGTGTCCCAATGCTTTTGGCAATATAGTGCATGTACCATCGTTTGTAGACTCTGTAACTTTCACAGTTTTACAGACTAAATAAAATACACTTTTTAAACATTTCTGTATTTTTTCATTTATATCGCACCCAGGGGTAATTAAATGCCACTGTAAGAAAGGGGGTGAAAGTGTCCGGCATTACAGTGGTTAAATGTTTCCCCTTTCTCTTCTTTCCTAAAGACTGTACATATTAATTCTCAAAGTCTCTCCTGATATGTCCATCCCTGGACATGTTCTATTTTATCAGAAGTTCTTGTTCCAATTACCTGACTTGTACAAGGCTGTAATATCACTAGGGGAACATATTACAAAGGTGTATGTGTGTGTGAGTGTGTGAGTGTGGGTGTGAGTGTGGGGGGGATTATAGGGGAGTAAATCTTTATCAAACTGACCATTATTCGCCCAAGCCAGCATATCGCAGGCTGCCTCGATGCATCTTTAAGAGCCCTCCCCACACCTTACACTATATGGGGTGTTAGAGGATCATGACACTGTAGTGGGCCATACAGAGCAGGCAGGTGGAAGTTGGCTTTGTCATATAACCAACACCCATTTATACTTATAATGTGAATGTCTATTAACAACATCTGTTTTTTTTTTAACAAGGCTACAGTTACACTTTAAGTGCCACTGTGTAAGCTGAAATGAGTTATTAGCCAAGAAAAAAAGTCCTGCTAAGATTTGAGATAGAGAACATGTATCTAAAAGTAGATTGAAGCAAGCAGAAAAGCAGATTGGTGTAATGCAGTATAGGAAAAGCATTTACTATGTTCTAATTAAGAACACAGTAATAATGTGAAGCACTGAACCATGATAGCCCAATGCTTAGTGTTATATCCTCAGGAGAACTCTAAACGTATGAATAAATCTAGCCCTAAGCTAATTGAGGGATAGTTTTTGGGTGGTGGGGTAATTAAAGGTTATACAGAAGAGTAACATACTTTCTTTGTGGATATTTTATAGCGTTAGTGACAGTGTTAAAACCTCCTCAGGAAACCGAGTCACGTCTTAAGAGTTTTGTAGAATTTGCGGATATCGGCATCTGCAAGAACTGAATTATGTCACTTTGGGTAACCCTACGTCCCACTGAAATGCATCATAGTTGATTTTGCCATCAACGTTTGGAGGAATGTGACACTTCCAGAGTGATCGGAAGAATGAATTGATGTGCCTATGTCCACAAGAAACATAAATGTTTGTTTCATTACTGTATGGGTTGTGACAGCCAGAAGAAATGAAGAGTGTTTTCTCAAAATGAATTTGTCATGAGAGCTGCCATTGCTGGCCTTCTTTTGAAAATATTGGTTGCTCGGTTGTATCTGGATTGGTGTTAAAATTGAAGTCATAGCATCAGCATGATGTCAGCTGTAGTATAGCTTCTATGAATGGTGGATCTTTTAGGAAAGGGTGGGCATACTCGAGCTCTCTTCATGAGTGCTCCTGAAGCCCCTTAATCTTACTACACTGGAAGATTATGGTGTGGGGGTAGGACAGATGAAGATTTCTATTGAAAGCAGGACAATCAACATAAGGGACACATCATACTAACTGTGAGTTTATCCCCTCGTGCTGATTATTCTGTTTCTAGTTTTAGCTAAACTTAGGATTTAACATTCTCAAAAGAAAAGTTAGCAATAGCAAAGATTACTCTAGTTGAACATAAAAAAAGACCCTCAAATGTGTGGATTGGGGGGGGGGGGGGGTGGGAGTACTGGGTCATTTTTTAAGTTTAAAGGAAAAAAAAAAAGGCTAATCTATGCTATTCCTAACTTTTCTTCCTCCCACTGAGGTAATGCATTCTGACAGTGGGGAGACTTCCTCATCATCAGAATGCACTGATTAGTGCAGCTGTCTATAGCCAGCGACACTGATCAAACAGGGAAAGTCCATACACAGAATATGGAAGGGTCAGAGCCCCTGTCAAGGGTGTGCCTCAGGATGATATGGATCTGCTGTGCTGTTGGGCTGATAATCCAGGAGTCAAGAAATCTTGAGGTATAACTTGGTGTATGGTAAAAATAAATAGGCAGGAGACAAGAGTATGAACACATAGAAAAATGTAAAGCAGAACTATGTGTTATTTCCCAACCACCACTATCTAAGAGGAAAAAGTTCCCAAATCATCATCTTCTTTACCCCCCTGCACTAAACTAACAAGTTCTACTCCATCATCTTGCGTTGTCTTCTTCCCATTGAATGATGGCCATTGTCAATCTACACACTTCCTGTGAGTCTAGGCTGTCAATAAACATCCCCAGGGGTGCATCATTAGTCAGGCTGAGCTCAGAATAGAATTCTGTATAGACAAGGGCTTTGATTTAAGTCAGAAGAATAGAGAGAGTATTTGAATGGGGGGGGAGGGATAATGTACAAAAAAGTACATCATGTCAACATAATCATGATCATGTAAATACAACAGGTGATTTGAGAATGTGACCAGTATTCCTTAGTGTGAATCTGTACCCAGAGATGCAATTACTGCGCAATGCACAAGTCTCATAAACTAAAAGAAAGCTTATTTTCCCTTTCTTGAGATGGCCAAATCCTCCATCATTTATGGCTCACACCAGGGGCGTAACTACAGGGGTTGCAGGGGACAAAATTGCATCCCGGTCCCATGCTCCAGAAGGCCCATGCTGCTCCTCTGTACACCTGAATAGGAAGGGCGGAGGGCGCATCGTATAGAGGAACCAATCCCTTCCATTTTTCTCCTGCAGCCACTTAAAGCCTGCTTCTCCTCCTCTCCCTCCCATCCACACTCAGCAGCTGTAGGAGGAAAATGGAGGGGATCAGTCCATCTATATTCCACCCCCACCCGCCCCTCCTATCCAGCTTCCTTTTCTTTCCTCTGCCTCTGGGCCCCCTGTGTAATCCCCTGTAGAGGGAGGGGCCCTCTGCTGTGCTGTCATCCCCCCCCTCTCCTTTCTCCCTGGCTGGGAACCTTTTACACAAGATAAGATGTATTGGTAATGTTACCTCCTACTGTCATGTAGATCTGGAAACTGTTCACTTTTTGGACAGGTCATGACATGTAGGCATTCATCAGAGGCTCCTAATGGAATAGGGTGAGAGCCTGAAAAATTTTTTGCCCAGGGGCCTATGTCCTCCAATGCTTGTTGTGCCACTTTGTATATGTGATGTAAATGGACAGGTAGACATATTTTGCGCAGAAGGCAGATATACCCTCGCAAAACTAAAACAAAAAGAAATCATTTCACATTTAATTACTTAACGTGGAACTTCACTGTCAGTCAACATTGACTATTTTTAATCCTTATACTGCTATAGGAACGTTTATCTTATTTACTTGTTTTAAACTATTTTTTTTTTATGTTTCTGCAATTACTCCCTGGTTTCTTGCCTAGCCAAATTATGTTATGCAGCCCAGGAGTCTTCTGGAGGGAAGTAGGGGTTTTCCCATCTAAGCATGTCCACCTGCTTGCATGCCTGAGCTAAGGGCAGATGGATTCCAGGAAGTAAATACTACATGAATCATCTGCCCTTACTCAAGATAGCCACAACCAGAAATACTAGGGGATGTTTTCAAAGTGATTTCTTAGCTAAATAAAGCATGGAGACATGGATGTATGGGGGAGTTTGCCTAGAATATTAAAGGGTAACTTCACTTTTGTGGGAAACATAAATGAGCAAATAAAGAAAATATTATAGTGCATACAATTGCAAATTCAGTCATATTGTAATTGAATGTTATTAAAAATTATCTTTCTTTTTCAATCTGCAGAACAATCTTTATCATTAGAGCTCTGCAGGTGCAGCAGCTGATTGATCATTATAAAACCACTCCCATACAGATTCATTTTGCACATGGACACAGACAAACAAACAGCTATTTCTTCAGAATAACAAACGGTAGGAATCTGCAACAAAGTTTGTTAAAATCCTTGCAATGTACATAGATAACCCAGAGGGGAATGTTTTTTTTTTTTCCCAACAAAAGTCAAGTTACTCTTTAAAAATGAATTAAAGTGGAGTTCCAGCCTTTTTTTTTTACTCCCTTGTAAGACAATGGTCTCACTCTTCACAGTCCGTTTCGGCAATATATATGTAGATTTTTTTCCCCTAAATACCTTTTATTGGTAATTTCTGTCTCCACTTCCGGTCCAGGTCGCCTAGGTAATTACATCATCAGGCATTCCCTAGGGCTTCTGGGATATCTGTGTCATCTATCCCAGCAGTCCTAGGGAATGCCTGATACCAAAATCTTGCGTTATTATGAGACCGGAAGTGATGCAATCGCAGGGATTTCTTCACATTGTGCAGGTGTGGGCGGCATTTTTCAGGGGGCAGCAGCATTTTTCAGGGGTGCAGTGCCACCCCCTGAAAGAAGGTATGGAAGAAGGGAAACATGCAGCATGCGGACCAGGTGGGATCTGAGAGAGGCTGCGGGCTTCTTGATGGTGTATGCAGAGCCTGACTCTCGTTTCCGGGAATGTCCGGAGCTGTGAAGGTGAGTGTCTTCTCTCTATTGCCGGGGTGGGGGGGGGGTTGCCAGTGTATGGAGGGCGGTGATAGTGGAAGGCTCTCTTAGGTGGGGGGAGGGCTAGGGTGTTGTTGGTCAATGTCAGGCTCTCTTCATGCGGGAGGGGGGTTTTGGTCGGTGTCAGGGTCTTTCCGTGGTGGTGGTGGTGGGGGGGGGGTGCCAATTTTTGTATTGCCTAGGGCAGCACGAAACCTAAATACACCATTGCCCACACTTCAGATGACAGCGTTCACAATATGAGGGTGCAGTAAGTAAATGTATTTTTTATAAGGAAAGCAAAGGATTACAAGTACAGGTAATCTCAACTTGCATTGCCTAAGCTGCCACTCTCACGTGGGTGCCTTTAGAAAAAAAAATAATTAAACGGCTGGAACTCTGCTTTAAAT